TAAATCTAAAGTTGAAAGAAAGATTTCATTCCCCTTTTCAGACAAAGAAGGACTCTGAATCTGCCCTTTGTGTTAAATTAGGCCACTTGAATGCTTAACCTTATATTTGCTGAAGTGTTTATACACTGTAGTTCTATCAAAGGAAATGTTTTCAACCTGCAGTGTTGCTTCTTTCAATCCAATCTAGTTCCATAAAGCCTGCAGAGAAGGAGCTTACACACGCACAAGACTGCTCAAGCAATCATTGTAATGCAGGCTATGTGGCTTTCAGCTTGCAAAACTGACAGTATCCCACACTGGGGTGGTCCACAGCTGGGCCCATCACAAATAATGATATTTTCTTCTCAGATATCCCAATGAAAATAGGAGCCATATATCAATGCCTTATCATTATACTTATTATCAGAAGCTGTATTATTTCTCTCAGCTGAATAAGGCGTACAGCATTCAGCATATTTATTGCATGACTCACTAACTATTGAGAATTGAAAGCTTAATAAGCAAATGAATGCACTTAATTAGTCAAATTGCACAATGCCAAAACACACCGTTATGGAACAAATGCCTGACAAACCTGCTGGATTTAAACAGCTTATTACTCACGGTGCAATGCAGAAGAATTCATTCACAGCTATCAGAGCATAGAGCTTATACATGTGGTGAAAGTCTTGCCTTTTTATCTGTCTCCTTCCATATTTTAGAGCCTGAGGTACACAGGTCACCTCCAAAATAGGATGGTATAGTCAGAGAGCAGAATTTGAGGGATCCTCCACTCAAATCTCCTAGAAGCCTCAGATAATTATTTATGCTTTTTTCCCATGGGATTGAAAGTCTCTGCCCAATGATAACTTTAAGGTGAACATTCTATGCATACTTGTTGACTTTAACAATCATCAGACACAGCATTAAGTTGCATATGCTTTTCTTTAAAACATTGATCTTCAGTTTCTTGGTAAGAAACCCCTTAGCAATTGCATCCTAAAGCCAGATGAGTCATGTCAGGACCCAGAGTCCCATCCCGTCCTTCCTTCTGACGAGACAAGAGAGAGGAAGAAGGTTGGGAGAGAATAGGAAAAGAGCGAATAGTGATAGCAGAATTATCCAGGCCTGAGTAGCGCTCAGTGACACAAGAAGAGAAAGCAAGTCTTGCTTTTTCTGTTCTTGAGTCTGTCCTGAGTCAAACTAACAGCACACAGCACAGAAAGGTGGGCAAGAAGAGCAACAGAGGAACAAAGTATAACATTTTATGCTCTGGCATCATGGGCATCCAATGAAGTTTTCTATTTGTATTGTGGGTTTAAGTTTTGTAAGCCAGTCTGTTAACACAGGAAGCAAATAGATGGAATAAAGGTTTTGAAAAAGCAACTGTCCTTTTTCATGGAATTGTAGAAAAATAGGTTATTCTCATATCAGATTAACTGTATCTTTACATCTGTACAAACCCCAGGAATCAGCAAACTCCAGATGCTATGGAAATATACAGTAACTCTCAGCATTTCTGGGTACCATGGCCAATAGTTCTGGGAGTTGTACTGCAGCAAAATCTGAAGTGCCACAGGTTGCCTACCACCTCCAAAGTATGGCTTGTTTCAAAAAGGATGAAAACAATCTATAGCTAATGTAGAATCTGCAAATATAGGTATGGTGTTGGCAGATCATTATATTGCACCAGATTGTATCTTTGTAATTGGTATTTATGTCCAGAAGGAACAAATGAAACTCCAGAGCAAGCACAAGCAATGGGACTGGTAGCTACACTGAAATACCTGTTATGACAATGATAAATGGTTAAGAAGAGCACATTTTCATTATTTTTGTGCTGATTCTTAGGAGCACAAGTTAGATAAGCAGCTTTCCCAGCAATATGTACAGATGCTAGTTAGAGTCATTCTAAGTGAATAAAAATGCACTTATTTGTTGCCAAGTAACTGACTGGATGCATAAGAGATCTGTGTCACCATTGGTGCTTTTAGACGCATCCTTTATTGTGTAACTGTCCTGTCTCAAACATAGGCTGAGTACCCTCCTGTGTTTTCCCAGTACTTCTGCTATGTTTTTAACCATTAAACGAAATCTATTAAAGGGAAAGATATAAAAATGTGCCTTTTCATCAGTTCTACTAGGAATCTTCTGTTTGGATGCATCACAGAAAGACAGGGGATATTATTCTCTCGTATCCAACTGTTTTAGAAGTTCAGCATTCTCCATGTGCAGGTACAGGTGATAATACAGGAATGCATGCACATGGAATGAACTACATAGCCTTATGATCAATTACTCATTTCAGTAACTATATGTGCCTGCTCACACATTTACCTTTAGTTTATGATTGCCAGAACCTACAGGAGTGGGAGGCTATCAACAGTTGGGAGAATGTGAACCTGATAAAATTCTTGATTCCACATAACTATGAAAAGAATAGGAAACTTATCATGGCTTGAAGCCAGGGCCATCCATATGCTCTTATCTGATATTTACTTACATCAGATCCTCGCTATATTCATAGGCATGAATTTGTGCAATTCATATTGTACATTAAATTATGCAAACAAGCACATTCATTGTGTATTTGACTGCATATGACTCTCAGTTTGTTCACCTGCCCTTTAGAAATGATAATTATGTAAATTGCCAAAGTCCTTCCAAAGTGCAAGTCTTTCCAAAGTGCAAGTTTTTTAAAAAGGCTATTACAAGTAACACCTCCCCCCGCCCCAAATTCCACTGCCATTTAAAACATTCTCCCCCAAATACTTCTTACTCTCTCATCTGTTAGTCCCAAGCTACCCAATCCTGCTAATGTAGGGATGGGTAACCTTTTATAAGCTTAGAGCCTAATTTCTTCAGGGATAATTTGGGGAAGGGATGACATTGAAATAAGTAGATGGGCTGAATCAAGCAGCCCATCTATTTCTCTTCCAAGCAGCTAAGTCTTTCCAGAGGTTTGACCTGATTATTTGCAACATTTTTAGGCTGAGGGCTACTTGAAGCATGAAAGCTGATGTTTTTTGGTGTCTGGTGTGCTTTTTGGTGTGTTCCACTATGATTTGATTGCAACTTCCCTCACCCACATCTGAGTATTAAAGCATTCTACAAAGCTTCTTTTGAGATTGATCTCTGTCCTTTCTTTCAGGACATGCACAAGTCTTCATTGTGAGATGCCATCTATGAAGACTGCATAGCCATGCATGTTCCTGTCCACAGTGTGAATCAGAAAGGTCCAGCACAGAGTGAACTTCAGATCTAGATGTTGTGGATATTAAAACAGGCTTTGAATGATTTATTTGGAACTCAGGAAGCTATTTTATAACCAATCGATCCATTGAGCTCAATATTATCTACACTGACCAGCAGAGACTTTCTAGGTTTTGGGACAGGAAATCTATCTCTGACCCATCTGAAGATGGAGTCCTTGGGGTTCTCTGAGCTTGGTTCTTTTCTTGCAAATGTTTCATTACCCGGCTAGGTAACATCTTCAGTGCTAAAATGGGATGAGGTTTGGTCTCTATTTATCTGCTCAGATAAACCCCAAGGACTCTACAGTTCAACCCTGAGCTACACATATTCGCCTCCATTGCTACCATCTGAAGATGCCAGAATTTAACTTGGATTTCACAGAAATACAGAAATCCTATGGTTCCAGGTTGTCCAATCCTGCTCCATAAAACTACAGTATGTTTCAAGAAAAAATATTAAGCTACTTTGTAAGGTTAGGTGTTAAAAACAGAGATAGAGGAAATGGTGAAAGAAACAGTGAGATGATGCCAGTAAGACAAGTGTATGTCTACACTAATTTCTTTACATGATTTTGTACCAAATGCATTGCTAATTAATTGTGCCTTTTATGCCTCATCCTGTGTGCTGTTTTAATTAAAAATAAACCTGAAATTGCATTATTAATATGAAAATGCTTTGTTGAGCAATTATTAACATTCTCCCATGCTTGTGAATATATAATTCAATGTTCCTACCCTATTGTCCCAACTCCCAGTCATGGTATTTCTCCTCCCTCCACTCTGCTGTGTTTTAGAATAATGCCAGACATGTGCATAGTCTAATAGGATAAAATGCACCAAAATACAATGCACACAAAATGATATTAAGAACAACAAATGAAAACGGGGAAAAAAAACGTTCTGAAACAGACTGATATCCAAAGGAAAAAATACATTTGGTACCATAATCAAAGATGTTATCTCCCAAAGTTTCATGAAGACTAAAGAAAGAGGTAGACAAGACCTATTCAATTCCACGAGAAACCATACTGCTTATAGTCAGTTTCCCACAACCTGGTACTTCATGATGTGAAGGTACATAACTTCCAAAATTCCAAACCAGCATGGAGTTAGGAATCATGGGAGTTATTATCCCAAGACTTCTGAAGGGTACCAAGCAGGAGAAGACTGCCCTAACTTCAACAGCTGAAGATGAATCTAAAGATTGTAGGTATAGGTGGTTCAGGAATGCCTTAACCATGGATTGGTTCTTCTTTTGAATAAGCTATAGGTTAGAGGAAGGTATTGTTTCCATGAGCATTGCCATCATGTGTGTGTGTGGGGGGGGGGGCTGTGTAAGCATCACAAACAAAGCTTCTTATTCTATAAGCTTAAACTATGATAATTTAAACCTTACAGTGCAGTGGGGGAGAAGGCAACTGTTGCTTCTCCAATCCATTTTCTCCCTAGCCCTTACCTTCTTGATTGCCAGAGCCAATGGGAGAAGAGGTCAACTGAGAGAACCAGGGCAGGAATGAAATGGGAAGGAAAAGCCATAGCTGCTTTGTTTACTGTTGCTTGGGAAGGGCTATAGAAATATAACCTGGGTCTCAGCCTATCAACCCTATCACAGACCCAGAAAATACAGAGAGGTCAACAGCATTCAAAAGTAGCATTGCCTTTGTTTTCAATTTGTACCCAGCTGAGAAACTTGCCTCATATATATCGTTTCATGTTTCACAACGTTCCCTCCATTCACCAACACACATCTCGGAATCTCCTTCATACCTTTCCGGATGCTGCCATCAGCGGCACAAGAGAAATCTCCAGTGCTCAGGAGAAAGCAGGTTGCTGCTTTCTTGTTTTTGTCCCTGGTACTTGAGCGCCTCATGAGCTGCTTCTCCTCTTGTGGTGATGAAAGAGGCTGCTCTTCATCTGACAGAACCACATTGGCATCTCCATTCTGCTTGGTGTCTTAGAAGGAGAAAGAAAGAAAGAAAGAAAGAAAGAAAGAAAGAAAGAAAGAAAGAAAGAAAGAAAGAAAGAAAGAAAGAAAGAAA